TGGTCAACTCTGAGTTTCTGAAAGCAATGGGGAGCAATTGCAGGTTCTTGAGCAGGGAGGGCTGGGGTGGTAGATAAAGCCATAGCAGAATTTTAGGAAGATTAATCTGGAGGTGAGCAAGACGGTCTGAATCAAGGGGAACATGGCGGCAATCCTATCCTAGATTCTTCATTCTTCCATTCCTCAGCTCTCTTAGCTAACCAATGCATCTGCTTTCTAAATCACCTCAGTACCGCTCCTTTCCTCTATATCTCATAATCACAGCTGTGGCTGGGACACTATCACCTGTCACCAGGATTACTGCAACAGCCTTCTAACTACTCTTCTTACCTCCAGTCTTTCTCCACTCTAATAATCCTTCAGATCATGATTTCCTTCATTTAAGAGCAAACACCAATAAGGAACCAGAAATACAAATGTGACTGCGTCACTTTCTGATTTAAAAGCCTTCAATGACTGCCCACTGTCTACAAGTAGTCCAAATTCCTAACATAGAACAGAAGGCCTGTTATGACCTGGACCTGGGGCCAATCCTGCCTCATCTTCTTCTGCTGGCCCCACACACCCAAACCGACAGCTGCTTCCTCCTCTAATTCCCAAGCTTCAGTCTTATGTTCTCCTTCTGTGTCCTGCCTCTTGAGCCTTCGTTACTTACATAGCTCCACCTATCGCCCCTGTTATACCCAAATCTCTATCTTCAGCCTTAGGCTCTCTGTAGAATGTCACCTCCACAGTTCCAATTGCCTGAAGGGGATTTCCAGTCCAACTGGACAGGCCCCAAACTGAACTCACCATCTTCCTCCCCAAGGCTGGGAGTTCTCGTGACTTCCTTATTTCTGTGTTTCTCCTGGTCAATCTAATTAAAAAACTACAAGTCATCTTTGCCCTTCACTGTTGCCCAATGCTCCATCCCTTGACATGTCAACTAAGCCACCAAATTCTGTCGAGTCTCCCAAGTCTCTCTAGGACGTCCTTTTTCACTTCATGGCCAATAGTAGGATCAGGAAGATCACTAGCAGCCCAGGACCTTGGCCCACCCTTCATCCTTCTCTCCACTCCCAAAGGAAAAGGCAACCTGGATTCATCGTGTCAATCCCTGTGCCCTGGTATCAAAACCCCAAAGGTGCCCCTTAGTAACTGGACACAGTCCAAACTCCTTAGCTCAACATTTAGGGTACTCCTCTGAGAGGCAAGGGAAGAAGGAATCAAAGGGCAGGAGCAGAAAGAGACACCTTGTGGTGAAGAAGTCTCTGGAGAAGCTCCTTCCAAATGGTCTTCATCTTTGCTGCAGAGCAGAAGAGTTGTTTACTAAAACTTAGGGTGGGGTGGGACTGGGCAATTAGAAAGAGTTCAGAAGTTCAGCAGGGGTGCAAGACTGCGGAAAAGATAGCTGGAACAGCACTACAGTTTTCTAATTTTACAAGAGTGATTGAAATTGTTTTTGTTCTTCCATTTTATAATATATACATATATCCATCGTGTATATTCTTTTGTACATATCAAATGTGAGTTTTTAATTTTTAAATCTTCTTACAAAAAAGAAGTCCCAGAACGATCACTAGGACCCCGATAGGGAATCAATGTTAAGAGACATAGGAAATTAGTATTTGTAAGTGTTTAATATGCAAGATTGATCTATTACTTGAGATGCAGAATCTGAAGTTCAGAGAGGTCCAGTGGCTTTCCTATAGAGTAACACAGCTAGAAAGCGTTAGATATGGAATTTGAGTCCATGTCAGTTTGACTCCAAAGCTTGTCTCAAAGTGATACTAGAGTGAATTTGTATGGTTTAAACATAGTCTTAATTGCCAACATGAGCTCATATGGGTATGAAAAATTTGCAAGTGTTGTGATGTCCAGTGTCCACTATTCAAAATGGCAGTTAGGGGAAGCATCTTTCTTTAAGGACCTCCCTCTCTTCTCTCACTTTAGCAAGTTGTGTCTTTCTTATTTTCAATTGCTCCTTTCAGACTCACTCCTTCCTACTTTGGCCTCATCTCTTCTCTGACCTCATTTGTAATGGGGCAGGGGCTCCCTCAGAGCACAGAGGAGGAGAGTAGGGGTGAGTAACCTGTTCGGAAAAAGAATCCACAGGTGGGCAGCAGCACGAGGGGTTCCCTCTGGGAAAAGTGGGTGTGGACAGCAGGATGAGGGAAGCTTTGGGTCAGGAGTATGATGAGGCTCAGAAGAGGCAACACTTCACAGTCAGAGGAGTTGGCTGGAAAGAGTCGAGCACCCACAATGCTCACGACAAGATTGCAAGTGACATTTTAGTGTTCAAGTCCCACAAGGGCCGAACAATTTCCATTAGCAGCAGGGCACCTCAAAGCTGGATGATTCAGACCACAGAGGAGAAATGCCAGAGAGGGATGGAGCTACCTCCCCCCGGGGGATCATTATTTAGGTAGACCACTACCTTCTAATAAATGCAACACACACACACTCACATTTATAAGACATAAATTAGGGGATGCTTAATCACATTGTTAAAGAATTCTTTTCAGAATTTCTGGAACTAGGTGGTTCCTCTAAGACCTTTCCCAATAGGGTCTAATGAATATAAATTCAATTAACACCATGGTAGGAGGAAGGCAACAGGGAATAAGGAAACGATCAGGGACCAGGAGCCGTGAGGCCTGGATCTCAGTCCTGTCTGTTCTTTTGGGACCCATTCCCCACTGTAAAGTGAGGACTAATTCTGGATCACCTCCAAATGCCACGACTTTTAAGTCCTGGTCTACCTCCATCTAATCCTATAAAGCAAAACAGATCTGTGTGTGGAAGACTCCTGATCTTCCTACTCTGCTGAAGACAGCAAGAAAGCCAGCAGGCCTCTTAGCCTCAGGAGCCCAGCGGAGCTCCATCTGTCCTGGAGCTGTGCTCTGCTTCTCTCCATTCCACTCCAATCTCCAGCTATGGTCATGTGCTGCATCCACCGCCTCAACCATATCCTGCCTCTGCTCTGCGTTTTCCAGGGCCTCATCTCCCTCAAATTTATAGAAATTGTTTTAATCCAACAGATTGGCCTCTCTCCATTAAACTCATACCTTCAATCATCTCCTGTTTTCCCCATCACGCTTCCTCTCCCATCTCCAAGATTTTGCCCAAGAAGTCTCATGATCTTACTCAAGGAAGCCTTTCCAGATTAGTTGATTCGAGGGCTGCCACATATAGTTGTACAGTTTGTGTACTGCACAAAGGCACCCTGAGGGGGCAAGGTGAAGACTGAACTGTATTCAGCTTGCCAATGCTTGCACCCTGGCTCAGAGGTCTGTCTACTAGAGGGATTCCTCTTTTTATTTTTTTTGCCCAAAAGTACCACTTAATCTCCAAGCTACATGCCATCTGCCCCGAGAGACCTCCTTTTCCTATTTTGTACCAGGGTTCTTTATAGACCAGCAATGTGGCCCCAGATGTGCCCCTCCCGCCCTCAACATTCTCCAGTTCCGAACCCAGGCTCCCACCATCACAGCTGTACTGACATATTTTATTGATTCCCTGTAAAGTTGCTTTCTTTATCTCATAATACCTGAAAGCTGGGATCCTGCCTATTTTTCTGTATCCTGGTACCCAGAATAACTTTTTTTCCCTTGTTCTGTTCAAGCTCAATGATAAACAAGGAACTGAGGTTAGATACTAGGTAAAGTCCAGGACGTGCAGGATCAGTGAATCAGGGGAGGGGGTGGTGGTCCCTTCCTTGTCAGTGACGCTAGGCTCAGGACAGCCCCAACTGAGGCAGGGAGCTGGCTGGTACACCTTGGGGAGGGCCCTGCAGCCCTGTGATTTCCCCCTCCAGGAAATGGGGCCAGTTCTATGCAAATGTGTTCTTGCCCAGGAGTTTGGTTTCTTCTCTTTGGGCTCCTGGCACAATGGAACCAACGTGAGCAGCCGCTTGGCAGGACAGAGAAGGGCAGGCTAGCCGTCCCAAGGCTCAGGTGACAGGGCCAGGCTCAGGAGAATGGGATGTTGACTGGGGCTTTAACAGCCCTCCTGATGCCAATCTCGGGCTGAAAACTCGATATTTCCACTTGGAACAAGAAACACGGGCAAGAGGGCTGGGGAGAGGAGGGCAGTGTACCAGGAGTGCCCCCTGCAGGTCTCACTGGGTGGCACCAGAACAGAGGACCGCGGCACAGCCGGGTGGGGATTTCAGAAGATGCCTAGGACGAGGATGACAATGATGAGAAGGAAGATATAGGTAGCACTTGCCGAGCATTTACAGGGTGCCAGGCATCGCCTTATGTAATCCTCATGACAACCCCCAAGAGATGGATAATATGGTTATTCTCATTTCTTAGATGAAGAAACTGCTCAGAGAGGTTAATGACCTTGCTCAAAGTCACCCAGCTAGTAGTGGACAGAGCTGGGATTTGAACCCAGGTCTCTGCCTCCCAAGATTATATTACTCAGTACCACCTTTCCAACCTTGCGAGGTCATTCCAGGAGCTTCTAACACTTCAGTGTCCATGACTACGTCTTCCTGCTCCCCCAGCTCATATCCCCTTGTTCCAGCTTTGAGCAATCTGGAGAAGAATAGATCCATATCTTGAGTAAAGTAATACTGACAAGAACACCACCACCTGGCATTCGTGTACCTCTGTCTGCTTTTAATTATTTCCCTGGGGAAAATGAATATTGAAGTATTGCCATCTCTCTAAATTTTTTTTCGGATTTTTATCAATGTTCCTGCAGCTACTTCTATACAGCTATGATCAATTTATAAAAATATACTTATGCTCTGTTTTTTTATGTAACAGTGTGCCTACATGCACATTTACATATACAAACACAGTAACTGATTATATTGATATGCCATAGATACTACATTGCTGAGGTAGTGTGACATTGTGCAAAGAGCATGCAGGTGGGTGACACAGATGTGTGAGTTTGACTACTATCTCTGCCAATATCCAGCTCTCTGACATTTGGTAAATCACTTAACCTTTCTCAGTTTTAGTTTTCTCATCTATAAAGGAAGAAAATAATATCTATCTCATAGGGTATCTCACAGGGTCGGTAAATGAGGTGTGTGTCTAGTGCACAGTTGATGCTTGTTATTAGCAGTGTTAGCGTTACATGTCTATGTGTCTTTCTCCCCCACTGGACTGTGAGCTCCTCTGGGCAGGGACTTATTCATTTCTGTAACCACCTCCACCTAGCACATTGCCTGGCACTTGGGCTCCAGAAAAGTTTGTTGAATGACTAATTAGTAAGCCTTAACCTAGCCTTTTCTCTCTGTTGGACATTTGGGTTGTTTCCAGACCTTTTGCTATTAACAAAATACACGTCAAAGCCCTTCTATTTATATTGCCTCATTTGATCTGTACGCCCTGTGAAAAAGGTAGAAAGGGGCTATTTGCGCACGTCCACACTCTGTGAAAGATGGAGCAACTATGGCTAGGGGAAGTGAAGTCACTCCTATGGGTCACATTGCAAATCAGTGACAAAGATTAGAACGCCTGACCCTACTTCCCTTCCTTGGGTGGATCTCTTTTCCTTCTAGCTACCTCCTTCTGGATCAGGATGGCCTCTCCAAAAATGGAGACTGTTATGGTGGGCCTGACCCAGGAGCAGCACCTGCACCCAGAGGCCCCTGTTGGAGGTGATGAGCTGCCAGCTCCCAGAGGGCCCTCTGAATCCCCAGGAAACCAAACGCCTTATTCCCAGACATCTCAGGGCCCATATTTTCCCAGAGCAAGGAGGTTCGTAGGAAAGAAACAATGTGCCAGCTTTTCTTTTTTTTTTTTTTCCTGAGGGGGTGAGGAGGCAAGCTCTGAGTTGTCCAGGAGGAGAGACTTTGGCTAAAAATAGCTATGGCGTGTGGATCAGCCTCTAGTGGTACCCAGGACTGGGGAGGGGAGGGGGATGCTCTAGAGCTGTCGCCAGACTGGTTGCTGTGGAAACAGGAGAGGAGCAGGGGAGCCTGGGAAGTGGGGATGACACAGATAGCAAGTCCTAGTCAGAGCTGCCGCTACATTTAGGAGAAACAGCAGTGTCTGCGGCTCCCACCCTCCAAGGGGGCTGGGTGGGGGGCGGTCAGGGGCATGGACGCTACCCCCCAGGGGTCTCTGCTGCCGGCTACTCTCCTCTCCACACACTGTGAGTTGAGATGCGGGGGACTTGGGTTTGGGCCCCTGTTTCCCAAGCAAGAGGGGGTTTGGGAAGAGCTGGTTCCTGAGGGAGTTTTCAGCAGATCCTTTTCCAAAAAATAAGCCCCCTTGCTGGCCAGCACTCCCTAGGGGGAGAAAGGGAGATCCAGGAAAATGTGGCCCTGGGGTCTTCTGAAAAGGGGTCACAGTACGCACAAGAAATAAGGAGTAGGCTGGAGGAACAGGAATCTTTGGAGGGAAGTGCAGAAATCAAGTCTTTGGTCCTGGGATAGAGGCAACAATTTCACACCTTTCCTATCCCATTGAGAAAAATGCAGCCCCCATTCAGGAAGACAGGAGATGGGACACAATCAAAGGAAGGCTCACCTGGATCCCTGGGGCAATGGAGAGGAGGGAGTCATGGGGGCGATCAGATTCTGGGGTTACGTCCCCAGCCCTGGGCAGAGAGATCTGTCTAAGGGGGCAGATTGGGGGTGAGATTACCCAAGACCCTGAGCGAACAGCTGAAAGCCCACCTGGGGCTGAAGATAGGACGAAAGGGACCCAGGTTCTTTTCTGCATGACCTGGGGTCTCTGAGCCAGCGAATGCTTAGAGATCGCTTCTCGAGGACATCCTGGACCTCAGTGAAGGAAACAGAAACCCATTGTAGGGGGAGGGGAAGACCCTACTCTGCCATTGCACTGGGGCTCCTGGACCCTGTGTCCCATGACTCCTCCTTGAAAATAAATGTGTGTGGGAGTGCCTAAGCTTCAAGCCATCTCTTTTTGGTTTCTCCTGCCCTCTACCCCAACACACACACACACACGCACAGAGCCTCCAGAGGTCTGGCTGCAGAGCCCCTCACTCCAGAACTAAAATTCTGGAGCTCCGGGTTTGGAGTTACATATCCAGGTGGTTTCTCCCCAGGACCTGGTCAAACATCCAGGCCATCTGTGATCCCTGTCACACTCCTTCCTTCCACCACCCCACCCCCTCCACCACGCTCCCCAGCCAGCCCAGGTTTCCTTGGAGGGGGGAGACGGGATGGCTCCCATGAAGAAGGGAAGGTTGTTGAAGAGTCCCAAATCCTTATTCCAAACCTTTCCTTGTGTGCTCCATACATCCTAGGGGCCCCTGGTGCCTAGGGAAGGCTCTGGATCTGTCTCCCAGGGCAGATTACAGCTCAAAGACCTCCTCAGGGGGAAAAATTAGAAGCAAAATCAGGTGTGCTTCCCTTAGAATGTGAGCTTTGGGGCATATGGTGGGGGAGCTGTTATAAGCGTAGTCAATGGGAAGTAGGAGGCTGGGGGAAAAGAATGGAGAGAGTGGGCTAGGTAAATGTGGGTGCTTAGGCTTCACTTGATTTACTTGTCTCATGATGAATAGGATACTAGAGGGACACAAGCCTAACTCTTGATGAACTCTGCACTTCCTTTACCCCACCTGTCTGTGTGGATCTCATATGCTCTATACCTCCCGCCCATTTTTGGGCTGTCTCCACTGTAGAAAGAACCCAGGGGAGATGGGGCTCACACTACAGCAGCAATGCTCATGGTTAGTCCTCAGGGAGGATTTCCAGTGGGAATTTCCTAAAGTGTGAATGCTCAACCCTTGCACACTGGCGATTTTTCACTTAACTTTCCTCCGCTTTCATTTCCTTCTCCTTTGTAAGCTTGCTCAGAGGAGGAAGATGTGGGAGGAGGTAGAGTAAGTGAGGTGCAGGGAGGGAGGATGGGAAAGATTTTCTGTGTCAGTCTTGGAGTGAACCTCAAAAGAGCCTGGTTAGCCGTCAGGCTGAACTGGAGAGAGCAGTGATTAGGGGACTGCCCTGATATTAGCCAGGGAGGGGGCGGAGGAGGCCTTAGGGCAGGGAGGGCGCCACACCTACAGGAAGATGACCCTGCCTGCCTCCAAGGAGCCCACAGCCTAAGGATTTCAGGAAACTCCCTCCCTGCCTGGGCCTTTTGCCCGGGGATGTCCGGAGGGGCCACACACTCCAGTTAGAGGTGGTACAACCAGGATCTCTCGTACGCTCTTCCCCTGGAAATCATCATCCAACTTGCATAGTGCTATCCAGTTCGTATACATTATCTCATTGACTCTACGATCTTGTGGTCTTGGGGGGCAGCTGGGGTGGTGTGTTTTATTCCCGTTCTACTGATACGGAAATCGAGGCTGAGAGACACGAAGGGACTCGCTCAGAGCCACTTGGAGCTGGCCCGGGGGTCTCCGCCTCTCCCACGGGTCCGTTAACCCGGCCCATCTTTAAGTCCCTGCAGGATCCCCGACGCCGCCGAGGCGCCCGGCGAGGGGCGGCGAGCGGCGGCAGCCCGGGGCCCCCTGCGTCCGCAGGCGCCCACCGCGCTCGCCCTGAGCCGCCGCCATGGCGCAGGAGAACGCCGCCTTCTCGCCGGGGCCCGAGGAGCCGCCGCGCCGCCGCGGCCGCCAGCGCTACGTGGAGAAGGACGGCCGGTGCAACGTGCAGCAGGGCAACGTGCGCGAGACGTACCGCTACCTGACCGACCTCTTCACCACGCTCGTGGACCTGCAGTGGCGCCTCAGCCTGCTCTTCTTCGTGCTCGCCTACGCGCTCACCTGGCTCTTCTTCGGCGCCATCTGGTGGCTGATCGCCTACGGCCGCGGCGACCTGGAGCACCTGGAGGACACGGCGTGGACGCCGTGCGTCAACAACCTCAACGGCTTCGTGGCCGCCTTCCTCTTCTCCATCGAGACGGAGACCACCATCGGCTACGGGCACCGGGTCATCACCGACCAGTGCCCCGAGGGCATCGTGCTGCTGCTGCTGCAGGCCATCCTGGGCTCCATGGTGAACGCCTTCATGGTGGGCTGCATGTTCGTCAAGATCTCGCAGCCCAACAAGCGCGCCGCCACGCTCGTCTTCTCCTCGCACGCCGTGGTGTCGCTGCGCGACGGGCGCCTCTGCCTCATGTTCCGCGTGGGCGACCTGCGCTCCTCGCACATCGTCGAGGCCTCCATCCGCGCCAAGCTCATCCGCTCGCGCCAGACGCTCGAGGGCGAGTTCATCCCGCTGCACCAGACCGACCTCAGCGTGGGCTTCGACACCGGCGACGACCGCCTCTTCCTCGTCTCGCCGCTCGTCATCAGCCACGAGATCGACGCCGCAAGCCCCTTCTGGGAGGCGTCGCGCCGCGCCCTCGAGAGGGACGACTTCGAGATCGTCGTCATCCTCGAGGGCATGGTGGAAGCTACGGGTGCGGGGGGCCCAGGAGCGGAGCGGGAAACTGGCCTTAGAGGGACCAGGGCCGGGGGAGGGCAGGGCCGCAGAAGGCAGAGGCAGGAAGAGGGACCAGAGAGATGGGGAGGATGGATGGAGAGGCTGGTGGAGGATGAGAGATTGAGGTGAGATGGGGCACCTGGGTTGGGAGGGGTGTGTGAACAAAGTGACCCCGCAGAGAGCCAAGAGAAAGCTTGGAGGAATTCTCCGAAGTCGCCCCAGCCTGGGGCCCTGGGCCGAGAGTTCTGTGTCACTGGGACTAGAGGAGAGTCCTAATAACCGCCAACACTCGCCGGGTGCTTACTCTGTGCCATGCACGGCTCCAAAGCACTTTACACCCCTGAGTTCATCTGAACTTAACAAGAACCCCACGAAGGGAACTTCTTGTTATTGTGCTCATTTTTCAGAGAGGAGATTGCCCCAACGAGAGGTTAAATAAGTTGTCCACAGTTATAAGCTAAATAAGTGGCCACACCATTTGTAGGCGTGGATAGGACACAGGCAGTCTGGCTTTGGTTTTTAGTGGTTCCAGCACTGGAAGGAGGGCTTAGCTTGGGCGGTTTTCTCATTGCGGAGAGGTATAGGGCCCTGGAATTTGGTGGTGAGGGTTTTCCATTACTTGAGTTATCCCTAGGCTGGACCGTAGGGAGAGGGATCCCTTCTGCCTCAGTTTCCCCATCCATCAAAAGATTCTTCCACTGACAAAAACTTACACTGACAAAGGAAATAGATGATCTTAGCATTTCTAACCCCTTCCTAGACGGAACTGTGATGTCAGCACTTCCACCTCAGGCCTGCACAGTGAAGGGTTTGGGAGCAGGTAGGAAAAGAGCAGTGCAGGGAGGGCAAATGGGGTCCTTTGGGACTTGCATCTGCAAGTGGGAAGAGGATAAAACAAACTGCAAGTGGATAAGCAAAGGCCCACAAGGGGGCCCTGCAGTTCCTGCCACCGTTGCTGAAGCTGTGCCCTCTGCTGGCTTCTCCCGCAGGCTAGGCCTTCTGACCCCGCCCTGGCCCCTCACGCTGAGTCTGCTTCACCACCCTCTGCTTCAGTGGGTCCTGTTCCTTCCTTACTCCCCCATCTCCTCCCTGCTCCTTCCCCTTCCCCAACTCACCCGTTCCCTTTCCTCTCTATCTCTCTGGCTGTCACTCCTTTGCCATCACCTGAGGCGACCCCTCTCCTTACAGGGAAGCCCCTGATCAGCCCTCTTTCCCTTTGTATCCCAGCCTCTCCCTCTCTTCCTCACAGCCCCTCTCTCCCCAGTGTCCCTTTTGCCTCTTCTTCCCTTTCCCCCACTGGATCTTTCCTATTCCAGCCTTCACCAAAGGAACCAAGAATACCAATGTCCCCAAGATGTCTCAGGATGGGGCTTTCAATGTTGAGAGGCAGTCTCCGGTTAGCTCACATTCACTCTTCCATGGTCCTCTCCCCTCCCCAACATCCTACCCCCCCCCCCCCCCCCCCCCCGCCCCCCGTTTGGAGGGCACCATGGGCTGGGGGAGATCCTGGGGTAAGAGGAGAATCGCCTGCCCTGGTGGGTGAGCCAGCCCAACAGGGAGGACAGGACACAGGCTCAGGGCAAGGAGGACTGGGGGCGGGCGGGGGTGGAGAACACAGGGATGGAGGGTGTCTGATTTTTCTAGACAGACACAGCTAGAAAGGATGGTAATATTTTGGGTGAGACAGTCAGGATCCAAAATGCTTTTGAAAAGCAAGTATAATGAGCCAAAACCCAACAAGATGACATTTAAAAGGAATAAATATAAAATTCTACATTTAGGCTTTAAAAAAATCACTTATGTAAGCACAGCATGGAAGAGCTCTGGTGAAAAAAGAACTGGGGGTTTTAGTTGGCCACAGGCTTAATGTTGCAGCAGTGTGATACAGCTTCCAAAGATGTTTATGTAACCTTGGGCCCTATTAGCTAAAGCATCATGGCCAAAAGAGAGAAGTGGTGAGCCCTCTTTTATGCATGGATCAGGCTACAACTGGAGTATTTATCACACTCAAAGTGCTTAAAGGATCCTCCATGGCCATTCTGGTTTGCAGTCAAGAATGAAAAACTTTTGGAAGGCAGATCACATGAGGAATGATGGAGGGAGACAGGGATGTTCAGCCTAAAGAAGAGAAGACATGATGGAACCTGAGACTCCAGTTTTCAGATACTCGAAGGGGTGTCAGATGGCAGGGGAATGAAACCAAGGGGTGGAAATCCCAGGAGGCAGATTTTAGCTCTTTATAAAGAAGAATGATCCAACCATTAGAGCCATCAACACAAAGAAGTGGGCTCCTTATGAGGTAGTGAGCTCTCAGTTCTGGGAGGTAATCAAGCACAAGCTAGTTGCTCATTATTGGGAATGCTCCAATGGGGAGCCCTGTCTGGAGAGGGAAGTTGAAATAGATGATCCCTAAGGTCAGTTTCAAGGTTAAGCTTCTCTGTTTGACATCTCCAGTGGAGAGGAGGGTAGAGCCTGGGCTAGAGATTAAGAGGGGTGGGGACAAATGTGGAAGAGGGTGAGGGAGCTGGGCAAGTACAGGAGCTGGGAAGAAGGAGAAAGTGGGCTGGACCAAAGTGGAGTAGGGGTCCTCGGGGAGAAATATAGGGAAGGGTGCTGGGAAGAGGGATGTGGAATGAGAGGTGAGAGAGGGAAGCCCGGGGCTGGGATACCCCCTGACCCATGCGTCTCTCCTCAGGAATGACGTGCCAAGCTCGGAGCTCCTACCTGGTGGACGAGGTGCTGTGGGGCCACCGCTTCACATCAGTGCTGACCCTGGAGGATGGCTTCTACGAGGTGGACTATGCCAGCTTCCATGAGACCTTTGAGGTGCCCACCCCCTCTTGCAGTGCCCGGGAGCTGGCTGAGGCTGCAGCCCGCCTTGATGCCCATCTCTACTGGTCCATCCCCAGCCGGCTGGATGAGAAGGTGGAAGAGGAAGGGGTGGGGGAAGGGGCAGGGGGAGGGGCTGGAGTTGACAAAGAGCAGAATGGCTGCCTGCCACCCCCAGAGAGTGAGTCCAAAGTGTGACCAGTTTCCTCCAGACCCCTGTGGCAGGGCCAGACACAGGCACCTGGGGAGCTGGATGTGAGAGGTGGAGAAGGAGGCTAGGCCCCTGGGAATACACTAAAGCTGGAGAGGCCCCCTCAGAATCTCGAGACTCGGATCCAATACGGAAAGGAGGGCTCCTGATTTCAGGAGAATGAAGGGTGGGGATGAGAGAACTTACCAGCCTGTCTGTATGTGACTTCACATCTGTTCTTGAGTGGATGGATAGACAGAAGGATGGACTTATGTGGATTGGATGGGAAGGTGGATAGACAGCTGATGGATAGCCAGTGGACCAACAGACAGGTGTACACTCAGGGCTGCTGCTAACCCACAGAGCATCTTTGTGAAATCTTGAAAAGGCGCCCTTTTCCTCCAGACCGACGCCGCCCCAAACCAGGGTACATGGCTTGGGGAGTAGAGTGTGGGCTGGAGTTTGGTCCCCACTCACCTCCTCAGCCATCTTCCCTGTGTCTGGCACACCTGTTTCACTGGACACAGTAGCCTGAGTGGCCCAGAGGAGAGGAAGGTGGACAGAGATAAGGAGGGTGCCCTGCCAGCTCTACCCCCACCACTGTGACAGGCCAAGCAGAGGACGAAAGGCTGCTGGGGTGGCTCAGCAGGGTATGGATGACCTTGTCCACATAAGCAGGGCAACATGCAGTGGGGGAGATGCCAGAACCGGGGCCCTGGAGCAGGGCCTGGAGAAGGACAAGAGATGGCTCTTTTCTGACAGTAGAGTGAGATCTCATAAGTACCACTGTGGAGGCAGGAGGGGAGAGAGAGGTTTCGAGGAGGAAGAAGGCCCAGGGCAGAGATGGACAAAATGAGTTCACTAGAGCTGGGACACAGGAGCCCTTGGGAAAGCAGAACTAGTCTTAGGGCACCATGAGAAGGAGTCATTCAGATCATTCATTGGGTGCCCAGTGGGTACTGAGCACTGACCCAGTACCATGTGGGGTGGACAGTCAGAGACTCGATTCCATGCTTGGAATACAGCATGCATGGGGGACACAGAGAAATACACTCGTGGCCAGTGAACAAGATATGGTTGAAACTGTGAACCTGAGCCATCTCTTGGAGCAGGGGGTGGGAGGGTTTGGTTATCAGAAGGCTAGGGATTGAGTAAGCAGAGAACGATCTGAGTCAGCAGTTAGAAAACTCGAGTGGGCCTCAGGGTCACCTGGAGGACTTGTGAGAACACAGATTGCCGGGCCCCACTCCCAGGGCTTCTGACTCAGTAGGTCTGGGGTGGAGACCAAAAGTTTGCATTTCTGACAAGTTCCCAGGTCCTGCTGATGCTGCTGGAATGGGGACCGTACTGTGGAACCACTGCTCTCAGCAAAGACTTGGAGGTCATATCAGGAGGTGGGGCCTACAAGCTGAGCAGAAGCTGCGGATCTCTGGGGGAGGAGACTGAAATATAAAGGGTGGAGTATTGGGCGGGGGGAGGGACCCTGAAACCCAGGCTGAAGAGTCTTAACTCTGGGCCTGGGGACTCACCCATCAGTGGAAATAAGGCAGTGACAAGCTGGCAGTGGTGTTTTGGGAAGATGAGTAGGCAAGACAGATGGGATGAAGCAGTCTGGAGGCCTGGAGGGGATTCTTGGAGAGGTGGGGGGGAGCTGGAACAGGAAGGGCATGCGTGACAAAGGATCGAATCCTCTGCGGGGCTTAAGAGGCAGGATTGAAAGTGGGAGAAAATGTAAGAGAGGAGCGAGGAGTCCAAACATCTGGTCTGTCTGTGGCCTGCTGTCTGCCCACCTGGGACAGGAGTCCCTGGAGACACATATTCCCACCCTATGTCCACCCCCTTCCTGGTGTCATCCCAGTCACCAGGAGCAAAGTCCCTGGTTGGTGATGGGGGAGCAGCGGCAAAGGTAGAGGGGACCTGAGGCTGGCCTCCCGGGAGAAGTCTGTGTCCAGGCAGGCACACCCTCAGACAGCACTGGCCTAGCAATGACCTCCATTCCTTGGCCCTGGCTACACCCTACTCCTGTCCTTTAATAAAAGTCTGAGCCCTTTCAGGGAAAGCACGCCAGTCTGCTCCATTCCAGGCTGGGAAGCTGGGGTCCTGTGGGACACTGTGCCTCCTGGAAGCAGGAAAGGGGGTCACGGAGGGAGCCCATGCCAGCTTGGGCCCACTCAGAGAGTTGCCTCGAGGCACAGGGTCACCTGGGTCACCATCAGTCAAAGATGAGGTCTCGGAACCCTGGTGCCAGCTGTTCCCCCAAGAACAAAGGTTGGGGTGTGGGATGGGGAGTCCTTTTGCTTTAATTCAGTGAAACAGGAGGAGTCTGGAGAGGAGGGAGTGGGCTGTTTGTAGTCACACACACACACTCACACAGTAGTTAACCCATTGCAATTGCACAGGCAGAGAAACTGAGGCTGCGTGGAAGTCACGAGACCCCGGCACACCTCTCCTTGCTGCTCAGTCACCGCTCAGGGCACCGCTGTGGACAGTGCAAGGAGTCAGGAGCCCTGGGTTCTAGCCCTGACGCTGTCGTTAATGAGCTCTGTGACTCTGGGCAAGTCACATCACTTCTCTGGGCCTCAGTTTCCCCTTCTGTAAAAATAACACTTAGCAAACTAGTAATGCTCACTAAATGTTTAAATAACTGAATTGAAAGAGGGAGACTGGGTGCCTCTTAAGCTGCAGTGCAGCTAAGACTTCTAGGATCAGAGAATCCTTAGGCAGAGACAAATTCAGGGAGACCCTGGGACACTGGAGGAGGGTGAGGCAAGGCTTGGGGGTACGTGCAGGCCATGGGGGCGGGTATGTGCTGGGCTTTGTGGACACACAGGCCTTCCCCTGAGTACTGGGCCACCCGGGGGCTGTGTTTTAGGACTTCTATTCTGCTGCTGTCAGACAGAAGGAGGAGGATCAAGAGGAAAAAGGCAGAGGCCCCAGGGCCTGGTGGGAGGAGTCAGGCCCAAGACTAACTGGACTAGGAGAATGAGGCAGGCAGAGTGGTGCGGGCAACTCAGAAAAGGGCACTGGTCCTGGCAGCCCCTGTCCTGTGACTTGAACGCTAGGAGAGGGGACGGGCTAAGCTGGAACTCACCCCCCCTTTTTGTGCTCCCCTCCATGAGTAGGAGTCCCAACAGTGATCGGCTTGGCACTGACAGCCCAGGCAGCAGATGGGACCCAGGTGTCCTCTCCTGGGGTAGGTGGCATGGCCCACAGAGGCCAGATGGTGTTTGTGGTGGGAAGAGAGGCCTGGGTCATCCAGAATAGGTTGTCAGCCCCAACGACCTCTCTGCCATACACCCAGCCTTTTACAGCCTCATGGCAGGGAAGACACCACCAGCCCTGGATTTTATAAAACAAGTTTATTCACATTTTAGAAAAACTAATTCTTGGACAGGGAACGGCCTCCCTACAGGTTGGGTATGAGATGAAGAACAGAAGGCCAGAGGGAGGAGTTCGGGAAGGAAGGAGTGGGGAATGGGGGCCATGTCCCCCACTCTGGCTGGGGGTAGGTCAAATAAATTAAAAGAAGGGCAGACAGAGGGATAGGGTATCCAGGCAACCAGAGGCAGGCTTGGAGCTGGGCTGGAAGACGGTCAACACCTGCGAGAACTAGAGAGAGAGCGTGGAGGGGCTAAGGAGAGAGTCCTGAGTGGGACTCTCCCCTGGCCCGCACTCGTTAACAGGGTCCTGCAGAACTGAGAGCCGGCTAGTCCTCCTCCAGGCGGGGCCAGGGAGGGACAGCTCATCTTAGGACTGGGGGAGACAACGCTGGGGGTCTTTTCCCTCACCTGGGGAGCCAGGGATCACCGTTTTCGCAGCCTCTTCATGAAGCAGCAGGTGATAGTGCCAAGGACAATGGCACCGGTGAGGAAGGCAACCCCTGCACCCACCAGCAGGGGCACGAGCAGGGTGTCCAGAGCTGGGTGAGAAAGGAGGGCTGTGTTCAGCCTGGGGTGCCACTGCCCTCCACCCACTGTCCCACTTGTGTCCCAGCACCTTCCCTATCAAGTTGTCTGCACCCACCTCCTCCCCATGCAGAGATAGCCCTCCCCTGTCTGCCCCCTGCCCTATCTGCACTCAAGTCAACCTTCACCACCAAGGACCCTGGGGCAGATGGGCCCTGGAGGGCTGAGAGCTGGATTTCCAAGACCCTTCGTGGGAAGTGATGCCGAGGAGAAAGGGGAGAGTAGCAGGGGGCTCAGATGGAAAGGGAGGCAGAAGAGCATGGAGCTGGAGGAAGGCGGCGAGTGAGAAGGGGGAGAGCGGGCAGTCACTCACCATGCGTGTAGGGGTAGACTGTGACAGGCCCCGAGCGGGCGCTGCCCGCCTGGTACCAGCTGTAGTCAGTATGCTGCACCCAGGCGCTGGGGGCACAGTGGTACACGCCTTCGTCCTCGGGCCCCAAGCCATGTAGTCTCAGCCGATGGCTTCGGGGCCCCACCAGCTCCACACTGACGGGGCCTCCTCCGGGCCGGACCCCCAGCTCTGCCACACCGTCCCGGCCCACGCCACCCACTAGCTGGGCAGGGGCAGAGCTCAGCTCCCCCTCTTCTGGTCGCTCCACCCACCAGCTGGCTGCCAGCCGCAGCCCCGGGGGCCCACCCCGCACAGAGATGTTGCAGAGCAGGGAAGCCGTCTCCCCGCGGTACACGGTGCCTCCTGCCAGCCATGCCACAGCCTCCAGCACCACACCTGCAGAACAAAGGATGTGGGCTCAGAAGGCACAGAAACAGAAAGAAAAGGTTTCTACAGGCCCTAAACCCTGTCAAGGGTCCGACCCACCCCCTCTCACCTTCCTCTCGCACATGCACAGGGAGGGGCCGGGAGCGGGCACTGGCTGCCTCACGAAGCCGGGCCCCAGACCCTCGAACGTAGGCCTTGGCGAGGCAGCGGTAGGTGCCCGCATCACCAGGCCTGGCAGCCTCCAGCCGTAGCCGGTAGGTTCTGGAAGCAACCTTCTCCATGGCTATGTGCCGCCCTTCATAGCCAGGGCCCAGGCTGCCCACACCCTCTGTGTCCAGCTGGGCAACCAGGCGGCCAGGCCCAGGTGCCCCCGCAGGTGCCATCTCCCAGCCCACAGAGTACGCAGCATGACGGCCTGGCGGGGGCAGTGCTCCTGACACATTGCACAGCAGTTCCAACGGCTCCCCTGGGCCGATCCGACGTTCACCGGGCCCCACTGCCACTGCTAGCTGGCTGGCTGAAACACAGGAGCAGGGAAGGGGTGTCATGGAGGCAGGAGGGGGCACAGAGCACCTGACTCCCCAACTGTATGTAGTTCCTTCTTTGACCACAGCACTTCAGGGCCACCCATCTGCCCCACAGGGTATGACCAGCTTCCCCACCCAGGGGTCTGACTCTCACCCCTCAGCCATGACCCTGCGACCTCCACACCCAACTTCTGAGCAGAGAAGAGCCATCATGGAGAGAGAAGGGAGCAATGCTAACAAGACTGCTCACTCTAGCGAAGGTGGGCTCCCTGGAGTCAGACGATGACCATCTAGTGCCCCTGGTGGCCACGGTGCCCACTGAGATAGCCTGGCTCCCGGCTCCCACCGTGGGGCGCGTGGCACTCACACAGCGTCTGCACGTCCACGTGGGCCAGGACAGCCCTCTTTTCTGCGATCTGGGCCCAGCTGCCATCAGGATCCTGAATCCACTCGGCGGCAGTGCAGTGGTAGGTGCCCGCATCCTCTGCCTGGGCGCCCCCCACCACCATGCGGTACTGCTCAGTCCCCTCCTTGCCCAGCCGCAGCTCCCCTGCAGCCAGCCGCTCAGCATAGGGTGCTCCGGCCTCCACGGCCAGGTCGGGCCGGAGTCCCACCACCTCCTGCAGAGTCGCTCGCCCCACTGGTGCCTCGGGCACGGCTCGCCCAAAGGACACCGCCAGGTGTGTGTGCTTCTGCGTGCTCGTCCGCGCCAGGCAGCCCAGTGCCAGCTCCTGCCCCTCATGCACCATCAGGCGAGGGGGTGAAGCTGGGGCCTGGCGGCCTCGGGGTCCTGGGGGGTAGGCAGACACCTGCAGCACATCTGGAAGAACTGAAGAGAAGAGCGGGAGTGAGGAAGGACTGGGAGCAGGCGGCCGTTGTTACTGTTTCCTACATACGACCTGTTTCCCTAAATAGACTGTGAGCTCCTAGAGGGTAAAGGCTTCATGTGGAATTATTTCTTCTGTAACCCAGTGGTGCCAAGAACAGTGCTGGGCACACAGCAGGCACTCAATAAATACTTGTTGAATTTCACAGAACCAGCCCATCGCCAACTCACTCTTATGTTTGGGACTGAGCCCCGTTTGAAATACTCAGAAAAGTGGCTCTGTCTTCCTTCTCAGAAGACAAAGAAACTTAAGAGAACAAGAATGTCACATGGCCTCACTCCTCCCACCCTACCTCTACTTTCTCCCCCGCCTCCCCCAGATCTGGATCCTGGAATCTCCAGGAATGGAGTCCTTCACCCTCTCACGCTCCCCAACCCTCTCAGGGAATGGAGAGGGGACTGGACAGCTTAAGGACACCTCTCTCTCTCCCAGGAGGTGGCTCGGTAGAGTAAGAAGAGCAGTGGACTGGAATGAAGAGATCTGGGTTAGAGTCCAGACTAGCCACTAACTTGTTGGGTGACTGTGCAATCACTTGACCTCTTTGGGCCTCAGGTTCCTCGGCCGAAAAACCTGAGAGTGGTTAGATAGGTCCCTCCTGGTCCTGACTTTCTGCCTTTTGGGTGGGTGTGGCCCAGTACCTCGCAGTTCCACCTTGCCGCTGTAGCTGCCCAGGTAGCGGGCATCAGTGGAGGGTGTGTAGCACTCGTAAATGCCAGCGTCTTGGGCCTGCAGGCGAGCAATCTTGAGCACCACGGCATCACCCTGCAGACGCTGCACCTGCACCTCACCAGCCGCCACTCGGGGCCCGAAGACGGCGTAGGAGAACCGGGAATCCCTGGTGCTGACAATGCCCAGTGCAGCCTCTGGGGCCTCAGGCCTGTACAGGAACCACTCAAAGTCCTGCTGGGCAGGGCCCTCGTAGCCACTGACATTGCAAGAGATGGAGATGGCTGTGCCAGCCACGC